ACATATTAAAATAAAAAGACACAACATTCAATTACGATATACAGTGTTATTTTCGGGAAAAGGGATCTTTTACGTGCACGCCAATGTGTACCAGGGAACTCGGTTTTTGTCCCATCGGACATGCACGGTTATTAAAATAACAAATGCAACGGTTATTTAAAAAATATTGTCGATATACGCTTTCTATCAATCTGAAATAATTTTAGTATCATTCATCTCCACCACGAAATTATTATCAAAATTATAAATACATTGTTAAAATTAGAATTATGTAAAGAGTTTAATAATTATTAAATACAGCTTTAAGTTACAGGGAAGAATATATATTATGAAAGAACCATATAGTGCAGCTACTACGAGGACTGACGGAAAAGGATAAATCAATTGGGTTGAAACAAAACTTTTTCCACCAAGAATTACAATCATTGAATGAATCATAGACATACGACCTGTAACTCTAGTTTTATTATTGTCTTCGTACCAAACCATCTTGTGAACCTACCCATTGAAATCACCAGAATTGGACAAAGCTGGCTACATGGCAGTCATCAAGTTCCTGCAACTGAAAGGGTAACGTCAACGCAGATACATGCCGACATGGTCTCCACTTTAAGAAGTGGGTTGCGAAATTTAAGCGTGGCTGAGAGAGCCTTGACGATGATCCGCGTCCTGGAAGGCCATCAACAGCAACCATCCAAGAAAATATTACCCGCTTGCATGACATGGTGATGGATGATCGACGATTGACCAATCGGCATATTGCCAGTGTTGGGGGCATCTCCCATGAGAGGGTTGAGCACATTATCGAAAACCAGTTAGGAATGACAAAAGTTTCTGCAAGATTGGTGCCAAAGCTCTTGACTGTGGATTAGAAACGTGTCAGATTCCCGACGCCCCGTGACAATCTACGCCGTCTTGAAGCAGATCCTGATAATTTTTGGGCCAGATTTGTAACCATGGTTGAGACATGTTTCCAAAAATGAAAAAAGAACTAGCCGGTCGTCATTTTCCTGGTAATGATGACGTCATGTCAGCTGTGAACGACTTGTTTAGAATGGCTGAAGAAAATTTCTTCCTGACCGGCATCCAGGCCTTGCAGCAGCGTTGGCAAAAGTGTGTACAGCTCAAAGGGGACTATGTAGATAAATAAATGGAAACCATCGACTTTGTACAGGTCTTTCATGTTTTTAATGACATGTAAATGTAATGTGTTGATTTTATAACAGAAATTGTATCATTATATTGAAATACAATTTACAAATGTGATCTGACAAATGTCTGATTTGTAAAACAAATATTGATTTTAAGATACAAATATTAATTTTAGTATACAAATATCGAAATACGACAACAAATGAAGAAATAAGAATTAAGGACTATGAGTTGAGAACTAAGAATTTAAGAACACTGAATAAAGAGCTGTATGGCCTTCCATAGAAAGTGGGTTAAAAAGTTTTATCACTTGTCTTACTCTTTGGGTGTTCTTTCTTTCTATTTTTACTTACTTGCGTAATTGGTATTTGAGAGAGAGAGAGAGAGAGAGAGAGAGAGAGAGTTTAACGTTCACTCAACACAAACTAGGTCATTTCGGGACTAACATATGTTCACTTTTATTTCAATCATTTGCTTGCGCTTAGGGGTCTTTATCAGAGGGAGGAAACCTTAGGACCCGGAAAAAAACCACGAGGTTGGACAGGTGACCTTACTCCTTGTCACGTATAAACGCCACAGATCAAACGAGGGAGGAGAATTTAACGTCCACTCGTCAGAAACTGGTTCATTTCGGAACTAACGTATGGTACAATTTTATTTTAGATCGAAACTACTCCACTGGACTCAATGACAGACCCTATGATCTAGAGAACACGACCCCGCCTCCATTAGTTCACTAATGTTACGGATCTCTTTAGTCAACATAAATGAACGAACCAAAGACATACGATTTGATACTTTGAAAGAAGAATTTATCGTTTTTCCTTCGAACAATCTGGACATATTATCACAGAAACAAATAGACAAATTATTTTAAGAGAACCACAACAACTCAATTTCTCTGATCGTTATGAGATAAGTGACTTTAAAAGCATCGCTTGATTCCTCAAACTGTGTCGAATCTGAATGAAGCTCATCTACGTCTATTTGTAGGCATTTAGCTTCGGGATCTCAATGGTGAATAACGAAATCAAACTCTGGCTACAGTGCTCAGCAAATTGTCGGCATTAGACAGACCAATAAATGGTATTCGTTAATGCACATTCTATGTTAAAAGCTAAGAGCAGAGACGAGGGCGATTGCTTGTCATCAACCAACTTCAGACATTTTTTCTGCTTTTGTTCGTATTCGCGATTTAATGAAACGTTTGTCCATCATTCTCTACAGTAAGAGAGGTTTTTTTCTCCTTTTTGCTGTGTGTGATCAGGTCGGCGACCATAATTTGAGGTTAATCTCAGCGTTCTTCTTGACTTTAACAAGATCAATTTGAATTTTGTTTACTTATTTTCTCGACGATTTAGAATGTTTATGAATGGGAAATTTATATCATCGACGCCATGGCCATATTAAAAACGCAAATACTCGAGACAGTTGAGTTTAAAGTATATTTTAATTTTGGTACTTCGTTTAAAGGTCACTCATCGACTTTGTAATTTTAACAGATTATACATAAAAACAGTTCTCTGACGATTAAAACATTTTCAATCGGAAAAGAAACAACATACCTTTCAAATGATCCATTTTCAAGAAGGGAAATATAAACCCTAAACATACTTTTCAATTGTTTTCAAGAGCGAAAAAATAAACATTAATCATGCTTTTCGACAATCTTTAATGTATATTTTCAACGAACATCAATTATTTTTATGTTTTTCTCTTTTAACTATGGGAGCCGGGGTGGCTTTGTGAGTAAGACGTGTTCGATCCCCGTGTTGGCCGAGAAAGTTCATCGGGATTTCTGGCGTGCCCCCTCCCTTGTCAGTGGTGCAGCCTGCAGGATGGAGAGCCTGGCATGGGACACCGTATAGTCGATCGGATGGGACAAAAACATTGGCGTGCACGTAAAAGAATTCGATATAAGAGTAGGTCATAGTGCCGTTGTCTAACGACTCTTCATAAAATCATGTTAAATGGCGTGTACGAAAAGCACATATTTATGTAATATGAATATATATAAAGTGATTTAAATTCAATTTATTTAAAAATGCTATTGTAACCACCATAGAGAAGCCGACGTCGGAACGTTTTTCAAAATGTTCATTGTATCTTTAATATTGGATATTGGGGGTCCATTTTTTCACGATAAGATATCATTATCGATATTGATTGAAATAGGCTTATATTAAATTTTAATTCGTGTTTTTAATTTAGACTATTATGTACTTCCTTTAAGCTATTAAAGTCAACACCAACAAATTTCCTCTGCTATAATCAATATATTTTAACCTAATTATTTAGCAATAACTGTTCTTAATAACATCAGAGAAACTTCAGTATGGTCAATATTTAGGATTTCTTGATACGAAAGTTACAATTTTAAGATATAGTTTTGCTTTCAATGCGATTAGCAGATTTACCCAAAATGTTTCGTGAGAACGTTTGATCGAGTTTTAGTTTATTGATCGCAAATTGATGATTAGGAAATTTGAAGACTTGCTGACAGCCGGAAATAGATGGTCCTTGAACCTTGACTTTTGATTAACGATTTTATCTTTCCAAATCAGTCCGTAGTCAAACTTTTCTTTCATTTCAAAACAAGTGTTTGGGGATTTATAGTATTCTAAACTGTTTCGTTTATTGACTAAATACGAAAGTGAATAGTTTTCAGGATTTGTTTTTAGTGTTAGGGGGCAACAGTCCAATAACAAATCCTATTTTCTGTATAAAAACACAACAAAGGACTGGCTGTAGTTTTCTTGGATTACGATGAAGGCCTCAAAAGACAAAATAATGTCAACTTCAAACGGGCATATGTTAACACTGACCGATTTGAATCTTATTTAGATCAGTGTGCTTTTTGAGAAAGAAGGCTTTTTATTGTGTGTGTGTGACATTTTAATATGATGTATTTTAACTTAATCATGCAATTGCGAATATTCAAATGCTGGATTGTTCTTTTCTATAATATAACCATGTTTGGAAACGGACTTATGCCTTAGTCGATCGAGGATGATTTTAAAGATAATACGCTAATGTACTTCAGTCAATTCTTTTTTTTTTTAAAAAGCCTGTCTATTTTTTGTTCTAGTCAATTATCAAATTGCTATGATTTTGACAGCCATGTTATTATATTACGCGTTTCGTTATTATATTGTCAAAATACTGACTCATCACAAAATATCGTTTCCTTATTTCTTATTCATTTCCGGTGACAGACGTCATTTTAATATTTTTTTTTATACTTTGAAATGTGTTCGTATCGTTATATTCGAATTCTTGGGTACATGTTATCTGTCCATAATATATTTTTATGGCCTAAAGTGAGCGGTTTAGCCGCTATTTGAATGTAAGGTTCTAATTGCTGGACTTCTTGAATTTATGCTAATTAGACCCTTTCCAAGACGCCGACTTTTAGATACTTTTAAACGTACACGCAAATACCTTATTGGATGATAATCAAAAGATAACTTTTGCGGTGCAATGTGCTTTGGGTGTTTTTCTTTATTTGCCAGCCTGGTAATAAAATGACGAAAGATTTTAAGATTGCTAGACACTAACGTCTATGTTTACATTCTAGTGTTTACTCACTCTTCAACAATCAGTCACAAAAATTGAAAATACTAGTGTCATATTATGTGCTACTGAAAATTCACACAACAGTTAGTTTTCGGGTCTAAACATGGCTCCATATTTGTAAACAAAAACATCAGAAAAGTATTAAATATTTCTGAAGCGAGATATCTAGAAGAGTGCTTTTAATGTCTTTCACATGTTGACATGACGCTGTTTCTGATTCAGTTTTTTTGTCTTATCATTGTTAATTGTGTTATGTATTTTATATTTTGTAGAATGGTTTAAGATATTGATGAAGATTATCCTATAATCTACGATAATCCGGTCAGCTATCAACATGTATTACAACCTGTACATAGTTTTAATCTTATTTCCTTTAACAGGTAAGCTACCTAGATCAAAACTAAATATAAAAAAACGGCAGTTAATTTCCAATATGGAGATTCTTTTCTTTGGCCAATCTATCTCCACCTGCGACATGTATCACTGTCTATGAAATTATGATTATGGTATGTATATTATTTTACTTACATACATATATATTTTAAACATCAACAGCGTCTAGTATTTCAACCACTATTTATCAAATGAATTATCTCCCTTGAATGAAGTTGAAGTTCCGCTTTGCTTTATCAGTTAATGAGAAATGAGAGAGAGAGAGAGAGAGAGAGAGAGAGAGAGGGGAGGGTAACGCCCATTTGACACAAACTAGGTCATTTCGGGACTAACATATTGTTCAATTTTATTTCAATAATTCGCTTGCGCTTAGGGGTCTTTATCAGTGGGAGGGTACCAGAGGACCCGGAAAAAACCCACGAGGTTAGACAGGCGACCCTACTCCTTGTCACGTACAACCGGGGAATCGAAACCCCACCAGATGACTCAGTGACATTCGGCTACCCGATCCCCCCCCCCCGCCCCCCGATAGAGAAATGGGGTTTAACGTTCAATGACACAAACTAGGTCATTTGAGTAATTCGCGTGCGCGTGTGTTTAGCAGTGGAAGGAAACCGGGGAACCCAGACAAAACCCACGATATTGGACAGGCGAACCTACTCCTTGTCACGTACAACCAGGGAATGGAAACCACGCCAGTTTACTCAATGACCGTAAAATGCAGCGCGCACGCGCTAAACATTCGGCCATCCAATCCCTTTTGGACAGGCGAACCTATTACTTGTCACGTATAACCGGGGAATCGAAGCCACGCCAGTTTACTCAATGACAGGCCTTATAATGCAGCGCGCACGCGCTATCCACTCGACCATCCAACCCCCGATTTTATCACAGTTAATGGTGACCTGAAAATTTTCTTTGTCAATCATTAACTAAAACGAGTTTTTCACAAATGTTATTGTGCGAGGTCTTAAGTATTATAGTATTCAAAATGGAAATCGCGAGCGAGTATACAGTTATATTTCTATGATATATGGTCCCATTCTTTGATGTTTGTTCCCGAAAAACGGAAATACATTGTCCGAAAAATTCCACACGGTGGAAGTCCTTTGATAACCATGGCTATTTACCTATGACAATTGATCGTCGCGACTATCAAGTCACTCATATATTATTTGAAGTGTGAAATGCTGTAAAATGAATTACGTAACCCCGAGAAGCAAATCTAACGATCATTTACTAATGGCTTAATATTTAGATCAGAAATGGCCACATTTTGTCGTTCGACTTACATGCTTAAACCAACTTTCATTTATTGTCTTGTGAACTCTTGGGCTAACACTTTCAATTGTTAACTACTAGTGTGTAAATTCATCATATTTTTCAGTTTTATGCCTGAAAACAATAGGCAATGATTATGAATACAGATTGGTGAGAGATGTTATGAAGAGATACGACAAACGAGTTCGTCCAGCAATTAATTCAACTGCAGTTCTTAATGTAACGTTCGGTGTCGCTCTGGCGCAAATCATTGATGTAGTATGTATACGTTACTTGAAAGTCTTTTTGTTTTATCACACGCGACATTTACCCTAAAGACATACGCCCGGAGGAGAATGACGTGTCGGGGCACAACCCCCAGGCCCGTGATCGTTTCTCGGGGAACAGGGTTTAACAATGATTTCCGATCGAAGGGACCCAAGTGACGATAGTTGTAGTTTGCTACCTCTGAAAACTACAGACTAACTTCGGGAGAGCCAAAATCCAAGATGGCGGCCAAAAAGGGTCTGAAATAGAGTTTTGATAATGTTTTTGCATTTTCATTAACTTCTATGCTAAGAAAAACATGAATAATTATCCACGTATTACTTGTCCGGCAATCAGTGACTGTTTGCTCCGAGTCTACCCTAGAATGAAACTATTAGGTAATGTTACTTTTAACAAATTATCGCTGAATTTAACTTTCTTGGACAATGAATGTCGTGACCGATGAGAATATGTTTACTTGTTTTGGAATACTTTATACCATTGCTCATTTATTTTAGTAATCGCATATAACAAGTGGTGGTTTAGATTTATTTGAATGAAATTGTTCGATCCCATAGTTTTTGGTGCAAATGCAACTTGATTGAGCAAATGTTGGACTACTGGTGATCCCTTTAATGGGTTTCAAAACTTTGAAAAGAAATTTCGTCGGCATGTTGATTGAGTGGTGCTTGTCCAGATCCGCTCAACGGGACAGAACATGGCTGGGACATTAGCCATAGGTGTACATCAAGAAGGAGGAAAGGGTGGGCAGGAGGGAAGAGTGGTCGGGAGGGGGGGGGGGGGTCATACATCCATTTTATAGGGAACCCAATCAAAGAGTAAAATCAAAATTAAGGTTAATTTCAACAGATTTTACATATTTGAAACCGTCGGAACATATGATGGCTCCCACATTATCAAATCTCTGCTAGTTGCCGACATTGGCACAGTGAGGGGACATATATTTAGACATTGTGGACTTGATTTACCTAAACCTCACGATGGATTGCAGCTAAAGTTAGAACGTATTGCCAGGATTATACAGGATAAGCTTTTAAGGGAACATTTTGACTTTAAATAGTCCTAAACGAGTTTCTCTTAAAATCAGTTCATGCATAATACTGACAATAGGTCATGAATTTAGCTGCGAACCATCACGAGGTTTAGAAAAATTAAGTGTGTTGAGATTTTAGTGTTTATACCCTTTTTAAAGACTATGAATGTCCCAATTCCAAAGCCGTCACTATTATTAGAAAGAAAAACTAATCAGTGACTGGGAAGCATGCAATTTATAGTGAGTACCACAAGTATGCCACCAGATCACAGTCAAAAGAGCTAACTATCAATCCTACATTATGAAAGACTCTAAAATCCAAAAGTGTCTGTCTATATCCTGGGTTCCAAACCTCGGGGTCAGATAGGTTGGGTTGAAATAAACTTTTGCCACCAACAAGTACAATCATTGAATGAATCAAAGACGTAAGAACTGCAACTGTAGTGTTGTTATTGTCTTTGTACCAGACCATCTTGTGAACCTACCCATTAAAATCACCAAAAATAGACACAAACTGGCTATAGGGCAGTCTATAAGTACCTGCAACACAAGTACATGTCGACATGATCTCCACTTTAGAGGATGATGCCACTTTCGTTCCCACAGTAAAGAAGTGGGCTATGGATTTTAAGCGTGGCAGAGACGGCATGGCTCATGAGAGGGTTGAACACATTATCGCAAACGCGGAATGACAAACGTTTCTGCAAGATGGGTGCCTAAGCCCTTGACTACTCATCAGAAACGTGTCAGATTCCTGACGCCCAGTTTTGAAGCAGATCCTGATTTTGAGGGTGACTGACCGGTATCCAAGCCTTGCAACATCGTTGGCAAAAGTGTGTACACCTCGAAAGGGATTAATTAGACAACATGGAAACCATCGACTTTGTACAGGTCTTTCACAGATAGGCTTAGAACTTTTCAGTCAGTCCTCGTAAATCTCTGATCTATACATTTCTTTCCACATTGCCAATCGTCTTTCCCCTCTCAAGCTCACGATTTGTTTCCACAGTCTCTCGTTACAACATTTTCATCTGTAAATAATGATGAAGTTTCATAGTAAAAGGTGACCTTGTTCTTCGAGTGATTGCGTTTAAATGGTGGTTTCTGAAATGGGGTCGCAACTGACAAAAGGTTGGGAACAGCTGATCTATATGATGCACATCTGCTGTGCTTGTCTCAGTGCTTAAACAACTTCTCAGTCGATAACTCCCAAAATAACGATACTTCTCAATCTGGGTGAGCAAGTTTGATAGATGACTCAGACTCTTGAAACATGTTTTCTGAGATTAACGAGTCATGCTGCGGATTACATTATTATATAGTACATTATAATATATTATGATAGCTAGATATAAAAGATAAGATTCATGGATATCTGGAAATAACTTATGATTATTATTATTATATGTGTTGGTCTGTAGTTGCGAAAATGCGTAATTTGTGTATGCCATCTCCTTTCATATTAGTTCTATCCACTTGGAAATGACATGCCCGTATTTCTCGTCCCCCACAACCCTTGGAATTGACATATCACACGTGTATTGCTATTGGTACTGAAATAATACTTTTCGCTGCAATTTGGGAAACTGTCCAAAATGGGTCCGGTGATCAACAAAACCTATAAAATGATAACAATGTTTGTCAAACTCAATTTCAGACCATCTTGGATTTTCGAGTCTCCTGAAGTTAGCCCATAGATAGTAAACTACAAATATTTTCACTATTGTCTCTGCTATCAGAAAACATCGTCAAACCTTGTTCCCTGAGAAATGGTCGCGGATCTAGGGGTTGTGCCCCAAATCATTCTGTCGATTTTAGCGCATTACTAGCCAGTAGGAAATGACGCAATTATAACTAACTAATGTAATGAGTTGCTTCTGACACCGAGGAACAGGAAGTCGTACTCCAATACTGACCTTTTAAAGGTAATGACTATGTTAAAAAGAACTGAGTGTTAGTGCTAACAATATATTTATAACCATAGCAAACACTCAGTTTGTCACTGCATACAGAGACAATTTGAACATTTTCAGCGTGTCATTATAATGTAGAATTAACAAATATAATCAGCAAGACCTATGCCAAGAAAAACTCGGCTGTGACAACAGTCAAAAACAGTAGTTCGGTCGAGGTCCAGAAACTCCTCAATAATCATTCTCACTTTTTTCTAACGTTTTCAGGATGAAAAGAATCAGATTATTACAACTAACTGCTGGATTAACCAGGTAAATTTCATCTTTACTTGAAGATGTTTGAAAAGGGGTTCATATATCCAAATGTGTAATTATTAGACGTATAAGAAGTGTGTAATGGATATAGTACAACATGGTGGTAGGCTGTACTGAACACTGCAATGGCAATTACGTTGTATCAAACTCATTATAAAGGCCACTTCACTATTAAGATCAATTTATATTCGTACCCGAACGGAGTCTTAATAGCGATATCTTACTGCACAGCTTGATATTTCTTTTTTGAGCGGGCGGGATGGGGGATTATAGTAAAAGAATACCCTGCCACTTACTGATTATATATGTCTTTTAGGGCTGGTTAGATCCTAAATTAAGTTGGGATCCTATAAAATATGGTAACATATCGGTTATACGACTACCATTTGATTTAGTGTGGAGACCGGATATACTCTTATATAATAAGTAAGTAATATTTATTCACTCTAACTGTTATTATAACCATCGACTCCACTGTTTAAAGTACTAATAATAAATTCACGGAACAAAACGGAATGTTTGGAACTTCACGATACCTAGTCTGGAATTTAGCTTATCTGTGTCAACTTAACCTGACTGTAAAACCAATACAATGATGGCTTGTCTATAATTTTTGGTTATTCAGAAAACCAAACATTTGTATTGGTTGGAGGGAAAGGGACATATGGCAGCATGTTGTTGCAAATTGTCACCTAGCCTTCATGGTCAAGAAACACAAGGGGCCAACCCTAAACCCTAGAATCGAACTTACTTGGTCCAGTGATTAGCAAGTTCCATTTGACAACGAGTACAGGGAGAAGAGGGCTTTATGGGTTACTGGTATCACATGTGCTCTAAATGCTTTTGCCAGCTTGCTCTCTGGGTTAAATACAAGACTTTGTGGTCCTAATATAGTTCAAGAGTGCAGGACGGAGGCCCTTGCAATAAAAAGGCGTTTATTTGTTCTGGTGGGACGAACAATCGTTGGGGTGCACTTAACAAGAACCCTTGACATGAAATTCGATGAAGAATATGCGCAATTATTGCTGTCTGGGCAAAATTTCATCCACAGTACCCTGAGTGGCATTCGCCCGCCTTCATTAGCCCTGCTGGTTCAGAAAAGTAGGACGTTAAGCCCCATTTCATTGATCAATAACTGTTCCCGACTATTGTCAGGTCAGTAAGTCTCTAAGAATGTACATAATGCTTTAAGGATTGTTTGGGGGAAATTTTACACTAACCCATGCTTATTTATTTCATCCAGTTTGTTTTATTTTGTAGTGCAGACGTCAAACCCATTGAATCATCCTACGTCAGTACGAACATGATAGTAACGTCTGATGGAAACGTTACGTGGTTGTCAATGGTGATATTTAAAAGCTCGTGCTCAATAGACGTTAAATATTTTCCTTTTGATGAACAGAGTTGTCTAATGTCTTTCTCTTCGTGGACTTTCGACGCTAATCAGTTGAATATGATTGACGTTGGCGAAGAAGGCGACATATCGAATTATGTCAACAGCACCGAATGGGTGCTGCACAAATATATTCAGAAGCGGGAGGTGGTGCATTTCTCCTGTTGTCCCGAACCCTATGTATTCATTAACTACATCATTCAAATACGACGACGGCCATTGTTCTACTTGTTTAACTTGGTTATGCCGTGTGTGCTGATTACTTTTGTTGCTCTAATGGGATTTTACATGCCGTCGGATTCTGGTGAAAAGATTTCAATGGGTATTACAACCCTGCTGTCCATGACTGTATTCTTAATGATTTTGGCTGAAAACATGCCACCGACTTCTGATGTTCTGCCATTAGTAGGTGAGTGTAGTGCTGTGGTGTGTATTTATCTAGCTCCACGGTAGCCCGTATGCCAGAGTAATCTAATATTTATTTTAACGTTTTGTTCAGTACGTGTATGTATGGGATTGGTGGTGAAGAAAAAAATATCACGAGTAGTAGCCATAAATAACCACCCAGAGAGCTACAGTGTAAATAATCAAAAGTTCTGAACATTTAAGGGAGCGTTGGTGGCTCGCTGAGTTCATAGGAACTTTCAACCGTGGTTTCCCACTGTACTTGTTGCAGGGCACAGGGTCTGACAACGAAAAGGGTCTGATTCATTAGAGATATTTAGTAACTGGATACATGTATAGAAGAAAACTTACTAATTTATTTTGTTTGAATATTGTCATAATTTCACTTTCTAAATGACTGTTACTTCATCATCAAACAATGTGTATAACTTTAACATATAAATGTAAAGAAAAGCACACTCGCCCATCGCCCTTCATAGTTTTAACAATAGTATATCCTTTGAGTAGAAGAAGTAAACAAATTTTTGTTTTATCCCGAACCCTCTTAAGATCTTGTAAACTCTTTGCATCATTATTTACTGATTAAACGATTTCATAATTTCAGGATTATACTACGGTATCACCATAGCCATTGTTTCCTTCGCTACCGGCATGACTGTCTTTACTCTAAATATTCACCACAAAGGTGCCAGAGGGGCAGAAGTACCGAGAATTATTAAAGTGATATTCTTTAAATACGTAGCAAGAATAATGTTTATCAGGTTAGAGCTACCTGAACAGACGCCTCCGGAAAAGGGGATGGTAAGTATGGGGATGTATGGGTCATTATCAAAATTGGTGGAAATTGCAAATCACAAATGACCAAATTTCAAATATGGTTAATTGTTTATTTTTTATATTTATTTTATAAAATATAGTTCAAAGTGTCAGCTCTTAATAAATTTAGAACAATTTTACAGAATTAAAAATTTTTGTCAGCTTTTATCGGTTACCAGTTGGAAATATGAAATTTCCCGTAACGATTAATAATTTTGTTTAAAATATGCGAATATTCCATAAAACCACTTTTTTTAAAAATTATATTGTTTCTAATGATTTGTCATTCAAGCATACTAAAACATATTTTCTTCAATTTGGCTACTTTTTTTTTTAAAAAAGAAGGCGTGTTTAGTTACCTAGTTTATACTTAAATAAATAATTATGCATTATTTTCTAATTTATATCTGTATGCGTACTCAGACAATAATTTCGACATGGTAGTAGAAAAACTGAAGATATGTTACAGTAAAGACACAATTGTTACAGGGTTGCCATAAAGGTATCTGTTTTTGAAAGAAAGCTAGAAATATTCTGTCAAGAAATATATTTCTACAAATTACGTCACATGAGTACTGACTGGCAGTAGCATGAAACCGTCAGATAAAAGTGATATCAAATTTATGTTAATTTTGAGATGTTACTGGATTGACATTACAGGAAAGACATGTTGTTCTGAATCAAAATTATTTACAAATTGAAACAACATAATGACATTCTTTTAACACTATTGTATTATCATGAAGTTCCAATTTGTAAAACCATGGACCGTCTATAGATGGACAGGCAACGTACACGAAGCCTTTAGAATTCTGTGCCGTCAAAAAATAGACCGGACAACCGTGACTAAAATAAAATTATCTCCCCTGGTGCAATTAACAGTATTAAGTTTAAAAGCAAAGTAGAGAGAGAGAGAAATGGGGATTAACGTCCACTCGACACAAACTAGGTCATTTCGGGACTAACATATGGTTTAATTTTATTTACATAATTCGCTTGCGCGTAGGGGTCTTTAGCAGTGGGAGGAAACCGGAGGACCCGGAGAAAACCCACGAGGTTGGACAGGCGACCCAACTCCTTGTCACGTACAACCGGGGATTCGAAACCACGCCAGTCGACTCAATGACAGGCTTTATGATACAGCGCGCGCACGCTAACCATTTAGCCATCCAACCCCCCCTAAAAGCAAAGTAACAGAAATCATTTCATAATATTTTTATTAATCTTGCTACTCTTTTTTTGCAACCCATACATAGATAGCCTACTAACTGATGTTTGGGGTGTAAATGTATCAACACATCGTCTTTGTTTACTTCGGAGGGGGGTGGGGGGAGTGGGGGGGGGGGGTGAATGGCTGAATGGCTGAATGGTTAGCACGTGCGCGCTGTATCATAAAGTCTGTCATTGAGTCAACTGGCGTGATTTCGATTCTCCGGTTGTACGTGACAAGGAGTAGGGTCGCCTGTCCAACCCCGTGGGTTTTCTCCGGGTCCTCCGGTTTCCTCCCACTGCTAAAGACCCCTACGCGCAAGCGAATTATTGAAATAATATTAAACCTTATGTTAGTCCCGAAATGACCTTGTTTGTGTCGAGTGGACGTTTAACCCCATTTCTCTCTCTCTCTCTCTCTCTCTCTCTTGTTTACTTCGGACGCGCCCATGTGAATTCGAAAAAAACATGTCGAGTTTTCGTTAAAAACAAATTTACTAAAACACCCTTTTCAATTTTACTTCTGCACAATTCAACATTATTCCGGACAGTATTATATCGGAACTTTATTTTCATAATTTTAAAATCCTTCATACTGAATTTGGAGTATTAAGCAAAACCAAAATGCTTACTAAAACTACGAAAATATTGAAATCAATCATTTGACAATTTTCAACTGCTGCATTTGGAAATTTCTAAACTGGAGAAATTTATCGGACAATTATTCAGTCCAAAAACGCAGGCTTCACGAGAAGGGGGTGTAGTCGGTGCGCCTCCCCAGGGCCCATAAGAGTCAATTGGGCCCATAAATATCAAAGTTCAAAATTGAATTGGGCAAAAATGCATGATTTTTTTTTATTTTACCTTTGAAGGTACAAAAGTTTTCGCTTTATCACAATCTGCTAGTATAACATCTAATGACTAATGCGGAAAGGAGGGGGAGGGGGGCAAAAGACCTCTCGCCCCAGCACATTTTTTTCCTCTCAGGGGCCCTGCAAAAACGTAATGGGAGATAACCTCTCCCACTTTCTGGAATATTACCGCCACTTGCTTGGTGTCCCATTATACTGAATTCCATTGCGCAGGATATTAATCGAAAGTTATCAAAGAATAATGAGTCTGAACGTGCTACTGCAAGGAATGGGAGCAATTGGAATAAGACACGATGGCTTAGAGTAGAGTTATGACGTGTCGATATATCTAACGAAACATTGCTGTGATGGGTATTCCCCGTGGTTTTAAAGATCTTATTCACTTGTTTGGAAGTTTATATATTTTTTTTAAAGTTTGTAAACACGTCGATATGATTTGGCAACTATTTTGGTATATATATACTGTTTACAATTCGAAACCATATATGGTGTGGACGTTGAAAAATGTGTATTCGATATTTAAACTGTTTTTGTTCGATTTCAGCAGAAAATTCCTCAAAATGATTACTACATGAGGTATGATAATGAGAAAATGCCAGAAAATGGAGGATTGTCACCACGATTCGCGCGCAAAATAACACCTTCTGCAACGCCAGGGGACAGCACCGAGAGACACTTCATCCGGGTTTTACAGAAAGTGTATCAAACCATCGAGAAAAACGAAATGCGATTGGCTGAACAAGACCGACGTGATAATATTAAGCAAGAGTGGCAGCAATTGGCGCTTATTTTAGATCGTTTGTTAATGTTCTTGTTTATCGTGTCCACATTTTGCTACACTTTGTCAATAATCTTACCCGGGGCCACCTCAACAAAGTTCGAGGATTAGAGACCAAGTGTTTAATTATGCAAGCTAACCCCTCGATTGGTTCCAATTTATAGTGAAACCTTAAATGTTTACACACCGCTCAAATGAGAACGTCGAATTGAAAAGTTAAATGTGTTTCTTGAATAGTACTATGGGGAAGATTTACCTTTAATTTCAGAATAGTTCCTCTATATATTGTGGAACGTATGAATTCGTTAAAAAACATAAATTGCCTGGAATCTTGTTGTTAGGGAACACATTTTAACGGTAACTAGAAGCTTCCCAATTGAGCGTTCGAGGTCAAGATCATTTGTTAGACAAATTTGTCAGCGAAAGCTTAGAAGGAATAGTAATAAGGAAAGGGAAATTAATTCAATGGGGAAAATGAATTTATTACCATAACAAGAAAAAGTTGGGATTATCAGACAGTATGGATAAATATGGTGAATTGTGTATAAAAAATGACACAAATAAGAAGAAATTTATTAAAATTTGAACGAATGATTTCACAATGTTTCTGTGTGAGCTTCAGACGCAAAACTTGCTTCAGAAGCAAAACGGAAGGGACAAACTAATGGTATTTAGTTACTAAAGTACAATTTCATTGTGTCAGATTGGCAAAAGAGATAAATGTGTTTTAAAATGTTTCTTCAAAGGAAATTGTTAATAAGACAAAACGTGTGATTTCACCTATGTCATATGTATTTTTTGTGCGTATTCACAAGTCCTCACTTATCATTGAACATCCATTGTCTGTTCTGTCAATAATTTGCTCCTACGTTATAGATGAAATTTGTGTTTGGTACATCAACTTCTTGTGATTTTTAACAAGAACATCATATAGTTAAGTTAACTATACAATAATTAATGTGTATACTCTACATTATAGTATATGTTATATGTAGAGCTATCGTTGCGTGTTATGGTGTAATAACGCACAGCTGTTCTACTTAGTGACATTTTACAACAATATGTAATACAGTGTGTTTTCAGTATGCAGGAATGAGTTTTCAATATACAGGGATGAGTTTTCAATATACAGGAATGTGTTTTCAACCTACAGGAACAGGTTTTCGATATACACAAATGTGTTTCCATAGGACTGTTTGACAAAAATATCTTGAACGTACAAATTGACAATACATAGACATCTATTGTTAGTGTAGCTTTCAATGCAGGGATATTTTTTTCAATATACAGTTTTCGAACGCATGGATATATACACAAGTATAACATTTTCTTTCAAAACAACATAAATACACAAAAAATGTTTTGAACATTCAACTATATATAATGTACTGTGAATTTTTTTGTATTTTATGTTTATATAAAAAAGTGTAAAGATTCAGGGTATGTTAACAGCATGTGTTTTATTATACAGAGATATTTGTGTAACGTAATCTAAAGAACATGGTTTTGTTCGGATAAAAATTAGAACAGGGATTTCTTATTTTCAGATTGTAAAACATATCATATGTCCAGCGTTCGGTTATCTCTAAGATATATTTGTGTGGATGTGCGGAATCTTTCTTCCAATATAAGTGCTTAAATGGATTTATGGCATTTCCAGGAACGAATGTACTTACTTTCTGGAAAGTGTATTATATGTTTGAAATTATGACCTACTGGTGATTTTAATATACTATTCAAAAAAAGTAGGGGATATTTGATTTTTAAGTGTTTTTAAAGTCACCTAATGAAACTGACGAAGAAACAAATGACAAAATGAAATGAAGTTCACATTCATCGATTTATTCCAAATGATCGTTAGACTAAGTAAGGCACAGACTGACCATTATAAGGGTAAATTGATACCCGGGGTCAAACAGCAAAGTTACCACAGCATCACAACCAAGTCAGTAACGGGTAAATCCTCCTCTGTTTGCCAAACAAGCATTGATCCGACGTGGCATACTCCTAATGAGACGTCTAAGGTCATTTTGGTCCAGATTGTCCCATTCCTGTTGCAACGCAGCAGCAAGTTCTTGGACATTGGCAGGACGTTGTTGACGTTGACGTAACCTCTGTCCAAGCATGTCCCAGACATGCTCGATTGGGGAGAGGTCGGGACTCAGTGCTGGCCAAGGTAATGTGGTGATGTTCTGTTGTTGGAGGTAACCTGTAACGATCCTGGCCCTGTGACATCTTGCGTTGTCATCCTGGAAGATGAAACGGCGGCCATGACGTCGTGCGAACGGCACAACATGGACTGCCAAGATGTTGTCCCGGTAGTACTGGCCTGTAACACGCCCTGCAACAACATGTAAAGCCGTTCTTCCAGCAACAGTGATGCCTCCCCACACCATAACAGAACCACCCCCAAATCGATCATGTCTGATGACGTTAACGTCTTGGAAGCGCTCGTTTCGACGACGCCACACCCTCCTACGTCTGTCCAAAAAATCAACAGTGAACCTTGACTCATCTGAAAACATCACATTGCTCCAGCGTCGATTATCCCAGTGTTGACGATCCCTACACCAACGACGTCTTGCCTGAATGTGATGATCTCTCAAACAAGGGATCACGCGAGGACGTCGGGCGCGAAGGTGACCCCTATGCAGTCGATTCCGAATCGTCTGGCCACTCACTCTCACACCAGTGTCTGTTTGAAGACGAGCGCTGATCTGATTTGCTGTGATGACACGATTTCTCAAGGCCAAGGTACGGATAAATCGATCCTGGGCTTGAGTTGTCGCCCTTGGTCGACCTGAGCGTGGTCTGTCCTGTACAGATTGTGTATCACGGTATCTGGACCATAGCCTGCTTATGACAGACTGAGAAACATTCATCGTCCGCGCCACAACCGCCTGTGTTGTGCCGATCTGTAGCATGCCAAGGGCACGTAACCTTTCATTTTGGGTAAGCCGACGCATATCAAAATTTGTTTTCTGGTCACTAAAACAATTAAACTGATGTTTCCACCCTGGAATTCAATGCCACAATGACTGTAACATTCAAAGTCAGAGTCGTGCAAATCTTGGGTTGGACCCCCATGATGATCCCAAGCATCACCTGCATTCCATGCGGTAGCTATTGGTGCGTTTGGGCGTCACATGTAACTGGAAATGTTTCTTCTGTTAGGTTCTATAGTGACTTTTTTCGTAGTCATTTGCATATTTTAGTATTATGCCCCCAAAATCAAATATCCCGTTTTCTTGTTTTTGAACGAACGTACCTAATTCGTAGAAGTGTTCCATATATTTTAGAGTTGTTTTTGGAATTGTGACTTGCAGGTTGTTTTCAGATGTAAGGATTGTTTATCTTTAGTTGTTTGAAAATAGATGTTCTTGTTCGCCACACCCTACACCATTCAGTCGTATATAATTGTAATAGTTACATACATACACACCCACATTTATTCATTTAAAGCAACCGTTCACGTTTTTTGTTGGGTTAACCTTCCTTGAATAAAATTTAATAACCCTCTCTGAATTATAATTATAAATTTTTGGGCCAGGAACTGTTCTTCTTTCGGTGACGCTCTTCGAAAAAGCCTAAGGCTCCGTCAATTCAAGTCCGATCGACATGAAAATTGGCATGCTTCATCTTTGAACACTTCTGCATCGATTTGGTGAATTAGGTTTTTGAATTTCATCCAACAACTTGGTCAGTTCCTGGTCCATAGTATGATCGTATTTGTTAATGAAGAATGATCCAAATACTTTATGATGTAGTTGGGAACGTGAAATATAGAACTAAAACTGTAGCCATCGTATCCTCTGATCTCATGGATATCTATAAGTATAGAATTATCCTATTTTCCTCCACCAACCGGAATCATCAAGGGAGATTTTGCTTGAACAAAGGCGCTATAGAATTCCAACTGCCAAAGGTTATTTTACCTGCACGCTAACGTGTTTATGGGACCTTGGGATTTAGCCCTATCCAAACGACTAGCTACACCTCTGTATATAAGGGAAACCGCGATAGAAAATATCGGTGAACTAATCGAAGCCCCGATCTGCCAATGTAAAGAAATATTCGAAAGTACATTTCCCAAATTCAAAACAATGAACTGCTTTGTAATTTCGTTGGACTGAAGTCGATCGGGTCGCCATTTCTGTGTAATTTAGTGTTGAATCCGTGAAAGATGCCATGTTTTGATTCCTTAAGGTCGAGAAGGGTCTTTCTCGTGTAGTATTTGTTGCTGGGTTTACGTCAGAGAAGCATGTTGTTTCGGAAACAAAACTTGAACATATGATAATGAAAGCAATTCAGTGGGTGCTAAAGCATATGTTTGTACAGTTACCATAAAAACAAGATAGCCATTATCACATAATTTCAGAAAAGGACATTTTGAATCCAAACTGGTATCGGAATATGAGCAAAATCGCAGCTTGACGACAAAATCAATCTATTTTTTACTTTATCTACGTCATGAATACTTTCAAATAGCTATGGGTTGTCTAAACCTTTGGAAGGTATCGAAAAATTTGCAACGAATTACTACCCTCTGCACTACATTCCGTTTATTTTATTACAGAGGCTCCAACGATATCACTTGTCTTCCCACAAATGAATTAATCTTTTAAAGAATTTCATTCATAAATTTCTTTATTACAACCGCATGACCCACTTTAAAGTACAGTTGTTATAACAAAATAATATAAAAAAATACAATAATTTTTCATTCATATATACATAAATATATATATATAAAAATACGTCCAGGTAAAAAATAGATATATATATATATATATAGTTAAAATAACATTAGATTTTGTCATCTCTATTTTTAAGAACATAATTAATAATAGTCTTTCATAACAACCAAGTTCCTCCGTAATTCATTATTGCCTCAAGTCCCAAACAGATATCCAAGCTTATCTATACTATATCAACTTTTAAAGTTCTAGCTCAATTATAAGCAGAGTTATTGTGTCCCACAAAGAATAACGAGCCCATCAAAAGTCCATTGTTTGCTGGGCATATAAAGATTACCGTAGAAATAATATATGGATAACTGTAGCCTTCATTGTAATGTAATATGCCAATTTAAATGAAGTCGTACAATTATTGAAATAAATTAGGATGTACAGCATGATTTATGTTCTACATACATCAACAGTCATGTAATATATTAGTATGTTTTATAATCAGGGCATAGTAGTTAAAAGTTATCAATCTTATTTAGTATCATTTTTTTGACAGAATGTATATCTTTGAGTCCCATTATACCACATTTTGCACCAGCTAAACGACATCCGATTTCAACACAATTACCCAAACTCAGATTTCTACATAAACTATATATACAGCCTGCTATAAAGGTATCCCCAGCTCCTGTGGTATCTATAACTTGTGGAGGTTTGAACGCTTTAGAAGTCACTACAGGCCCATCTGGAATTTTGGCTGCAGCCCCTTGCTCTCCCCAAGCACAGAAAATAGTTTTCCTGAAACAAATTTACAGAATTCATTTTAAAAAATACCGTTAACCAAAACGATTTCTATAACTTTAAGAGGGTAGTGCAACAGTGTAAATTTACTCTTGAAATAAATGTGAACCAGGATGTTCTTTTCGTATAGAAAATATGAAGGCACAGTGGAACAATAATTGTTGATTGCTTCTCAAATTGAGAGTGGGGGATGGCCCAATGTTCTAACGTGTGCGCTTTAGACCGTATGATCTGTTATTAGGTCAAATGCCGTGGGTTTTCCCCGGGTCCTCTGGTTTCCTACAACTGAAATCGAATTATTGAATTAAAAGTGTTCAGGCCAGTAACTAGGTAGGGGGCAGAGGGGGGGGGGGCTTTGCCCCCCCCCCCTCCCTGTGAAAACATTGTCAACCATAAAAATAGATATACATTGTCCGTCAATTTTACAGCACCCCCGAGAACACTTCCCGCCCCCCTCGATGCTCTGAGCTAGTTACGGCCCTGTAAGTCTTAGCCCCGAAATGACCTAGTATGTGTTGAATGGACATTAAACCAATTTATATCTCTTTCTCCCTTCTCTAAATATTAGTTTACAATAATCCTTTAGAGGCTAGAGCATACTTACGGAAAAACAGCTACTTATTTATTTGGGTGAGTTTCGAAGAGTATTTACAAAACCAAAGGTAACCGGTACTTACATTGCTACGAAAAACCGAGCACCCGTGTATACATTGGAATGCACGTAATAGATCCCTTGGCAGTTGGAATTCGATATGAGAGTAGGCGATAGTGCCGCTGCCCGGCCAAAAATTCCCTCATAGCACACTGTATGGCTTATGCCCGTCTTCATTAGCCCAGTATACGAGCAGAACAGTAGGACGTTAAACCCCATTTCATTTCATTTCATTTATTTAGTTGTAAAATTTGTTTGATAATATCATTGACCTGATTTGAATTTAGTTATGATTTAAACTGTATACATTCTTCCAATCAAAAACAAATACGGAAATCCGCCTCTCACAATAATAATTAAGCTTGGTAGAAACTTACCCCGTTTCAGACATCCCTCTAACACATGACGTCATATCATCATAACCCAGAAACTGTGCATAATCTTTACTAAGGAAGGTGTAATCTGCCAATTCAATTAAATCGTCTGAAATTCAAAATTAAATTGGAAATGGGAAAGATTAAAAAAATTATACATTATTACATTCAATTATGGAAATGGTTTGTGCTCTCTGAATTTCAGTCATAATTTGTTTCCAAAATATAATACAAGAGTTTATCTCGACTTTCTTCATAATAATTAATGTTGTCGGTTTCATCATTCAATACTGCACCAAACACAAAATACTTGGCACCCTTAAACAGTTTTTAAAATGGTTATTATAAAGTTATTCTAAAATTTATATAAATTAAACCAATTGTACCGTAGAGAACAAACAAACATTCTCATACATTCTACTGGCCTTGTTTCGTTTAATAAATCTAAAGTTTCTGGGTATAATTTCTATGCAATGCAGTCTGCCGGCAAATCAAAAAACTCGACGTATGTAATCGCCGTTGTCCCTCCTATTTAAAATATTTGTGTTTCTGGTGAATCTAGTTTGTATTTGGTGTGCGAAGTAATTGATTGCCTGTGAATGAGCTTGTTAACCAGTCGAAACCTGACCTTGTCTTACAAACTCGACACAAACTAGGTCATTTTGGGACTAACACATGGTTCAATTTGATTTCAATGATTCGCTTTCGCGTAGGTGTCTTTAGCAGTGGGAGGAAACCGGAAGACCTGGAATAAAGCCACGAGGTTGAACAGGCGAACGTACTCCTTGTCACGTACAAACGGGGAAAATATGGATGAGAGAACACAGACAATATACAATGTGGATTAAAACAATACCTAATAATATTGGTCGTATCTTCTCTATTTCTAACGAAATAACAATTTTATCTTCATCATCAACTGATTTATTATATCTTCTTACATGATTCATCATCAGATAAATCTCATCTTTATTAGGTCGTCCCTGATAAAAAAAACCCCATGATTTATATACATTTACACCATATAGCAATAAAGATTTCAATCACGTGTAGTATTTCAGTCATATCTGATTGCCTTGAATACTCAGTGGCTGTGTTCTTTTTTTTTTAATCCCGATGACGAATTCGGGCGGGAGAATCTGTTAGCAACATATATTTGCTCATTTTATAAGTCTTTTGAAAGTTTACACAAAGCGGTTGTTATTAATTTCTATCAGTCCGTCTGTCATGTTTTTTTTCATTAACATCAATAAACAATCAATATGATTACGGTGTTGGGCTCCCTTATCTGTTTAACGATGGCATTAGTCGGCTGTCAGTCGAAGTATTCCCTTAACAAAAAGTCATCGACTATCATTGTAATTTTCTGTAGAATTTTTATAGTTCAAAATTTCGTTTTACTACACTAGGATCTGGAAGAGTTGTTATGTTAACGGCGTTTTGGTTGAAGTGAGGGATAAGCCAATGAAATTGTCTGTTACGGCGAATTCTTGGCGTGCCATGAACGGAACTGTGGGTAAACCACTAGAAACGTCAACGCTGATTGATTATTCAATGTCTGACGTCATAGGTCAAAAGCCACTCGTACGACCCTGACACGATCTTCGAGTACAACTGGTCAAATCTTGATGTAGTGTAGGCCATCGTAAGTTTAAAAAAACGAAACGAAATATAGATCTGTATTTTAATCAGATTGGAAATAACGGCCTCAAATATTCTACAGTTACTGTACTGCCAATCCTATAATTTTTCCAACAGAAAATACTACAGTTTTCTATAGATTTTTATAGTGTTTTCTGTAGGGAATTCTACAGTTATCATTTTGTCTTTAATCAAGGTTTGTGAACAGATTGCACAGTTGTCCTACTTTCTTCAGTTTCTTGTTAATACTAACTTCTATGAACATTGAATTTAAAATTCTAAAATTCATCCAATGACCAAACAGTCTTCTCTTGGATTAACTTTAATCAGCCCTTCAGCTAACGATAATGAAATTGACTTTCCAGCACTAGAAATTTAACGTACCGTTACCAAACGACACGTTAGCAAGATAACGATCCGGTAGAATTTAAGGGATTGTTAAAATAACTCAGTTTTGAGCAACCGGCCCCAGGACAAAAATAGGGAGATTATGTCGACTCAGGAGCACCCAATCGATTATATCACAGCACTTACTTCATCTGTGTACGTAAAATTTTAACAAATACAGAAAATCAACACAAAAACTTTAGATAATGACATACCTCAAAATGTATCCATTTATATTTCTTTAAATCCAGCTTCTTGAAGTCTTCACATTTAAGTTCTCTTAAAGATCTAGAAGAACAAACAGTACATTTTGTAAAGTATTTGGGATTCCTTAGGTTCATGAAAGCGAGTAAAAGACACAATAATCCTGGTCATTCACATACATTTGAAATGTTAAAAATATATACTATTTAGTGCAAAATCGGATGTAATTGTTAGACACAACCGAGCCTAAAAAGGCCATCAAGTGGAAGGTAGAGGCTTGCATGAACAAGAGCAACGCTACCGCTGCAATATACGTCCACATTCCTGCTTTGATTGATATGTATTTTTTAAAATGAAGAGAATGAAATATGAAATGGCTGCAACGACTGTAATATGACAAGAGGCAAAGAAGGCTAGGTGTTGGGTTTGTTTTGCCAAAATTTATAGACTATAATTATTAACAAAAATGTGGGTGTGACACCACCCAAGTGGGTCGGGCCGTCGGGGCATGCACCAAAATAAATAGTTGCTATCTTTACGGTATAACAAATAAATATGCCAAGTTCCAAGATGATCCATTTAGAATTGCAGTCTGTAGACGATAAACACAGAAATTGAGCCTGGCTCTGCCCCTGGGAGTTGGAGATGGAACAATATAAATAGGTAAAACCCTGTTAGTGAAATGATTGATAAGCTGAATTTGAACAAAATCTGTTCATAATTGCAACCTGTATAGTATTTACAGAAAAAACATTAACAAAAAGTGGGTGTGACACCACCCCTGGGGGGTCGGGACATGCACCAAAATAAATAGTTGCTGCCCTTACGGTATAAGGAATAAATATGCCAAGTCCCAAGGTGACCTATTCAGAATTCCAACCTGTAGACAAACAAAATAATTGGGCGTGGCTTCGTCACCAATATAAATAGATACAACCCTATGATGAATCATGTCGAATTGGATCCAAATCTGTTAATAATTGCAACTGGCAGATTATTTACAGACAAAATATTAACAAAAAGTGGGTGTGGGGTGTGGCACCACCCAGAAATTGTGTGTGTGTGGGGGGGGGGGGTCGTGCACCCAAATTAATAGCTGCCGTCCAAGCATACCAAGTTCCAAGATTATCCAATCAGAATTGCGGCATGTATACGATAGGCCCTAAACACGAATATTGGAAGTGGCTATGCACAGAATTGCAGTCTGTAGACGATAAATACAAAACAACGGGCGTGGTTCTGTCCGTGAGTATTTGGCATGCACCAAAAACTATAATGATCATCCTTAGGGTATAAGAATAAGTATCCAAATTTGAAGCGGATCCGTTAAGAAATGCTGTCTGTAGACGACAAACAAACAAATACAAAAAATGGGCGTGGCTTTGCCCCTGAGAGCCAGTCATGCACCAAAAACAATAGGATCATACTTCGGGTGAAGGAATAAGTATGTAAAGTTTCAAGACGACCAGTTAAGAATTGCGGTCTGTAGGCGACACACGGACACACACGCCCACACACAGAGATAGGGGCAACGGCAATATACGCCCACATTCATTCATAATGTGGACGTATAAAAAGGTAGCACAGTTATTTTTATACATTGGCCAAGAGATGAAGATGATGGTCTCAGACCAATCGTATTAAACTCGATATTGAATTTTTATTTCATACGAAAGGCTACCGAAAGTTACATTCTCACTCTAAATCGTTAGCAACTACAGTAGACCATAATTCAATTTAAAGATCCGTTAGTCCATTGTTGGTCTTCGTCTCGGTTAGAAAGATTAAAGCTCATTATCTCTTTCACAAAAGCAAATAGTTGACACCACATTCAAAATAACCTACGCCAAAATAACCCTAAGTGCACTAAGAAAAACATATTTTGCAGGGGGTTAGTTAAACTCATAAATAGAAACTTAGCAACTGATTCGTAAATGTCTCAAACATATATTACAGACAGTCGATTCAGAATACTCGAAATTCAGCTGTACGGACAACTCACGCAAAATCGCCCTTTTCTTACTTCTTTTACTGGCGGTCAAAGATTTATTTGTATTGAAGATTTTCATACAGGGACTTTATTACGAAAAACTAATCTTATATATTTGTGTAGGGATTTTAACAATTAACCAATGAAAATGCTATATCCTTAACATATTTCAGTTAAGGTTTTCGTGAATAGTTCGACTTACTGGTATCAGTATAGTTGATTTATTACTACCAAACAGTTTAAAATCTTATATGTGACTCACTTGTTGCTATGGAGTATAGTTCTAGATCCATTTTCTGTATTGATAATGACGATAGATAGTGGACATTTTGTTCTGGGACAAACTGCACAATTTTCAATATTTATACCAAACTCATTGCAGTCAGATCGTAGAAAACTAAATACAAAAAAACAAAACAACAAAAAACGTAATGTTATTATCAAAGTCTGGCAATACAAGAAAACATAATGTTATTATTAAAGATACATCTTCTGGCAATACAAGAAAACATAAACATAATGTTATTATTAAAGATACACATTCTGGCAATACAAGAAAACATAATGTTATTATTAAAGATACACATTCTGACAATACAAGAAAGCATACGCCCACGTGTATAGACCATCGCCTATTGCAATCGCCCATGTCTGTGCGTATGTAGGATTACTCTACCGAAATAAAACTTTAATTTCAAAAAAATGAAACGAAATGAAATGGGGTTTAATGTCCTACTGTTCTGCTCCGACTGGGCTAATGAAGACGGTAATGATTGGGGGGGGGGGGTAATATTATATTATAAACATTACATTGCTATTAAATGGAGTATTGATTTGGAACATACAGATCTGGTTTGAATTAACAATCAAAACGAATAAAATTCTGGTTAATATTAATTATAGATCGGAGAGGCAATCACACATTTACTATTGGCAACACTTTGAATTTATGCTAAAAAGAGCCTTGGACGAAGTTCTAATATTGTATGTCTAGGCGATCTAAACAAAAATTTTCAGGAAGAACTTCCGTTACAAATAATGGATATGTTTTTAGTCAGTGAATGTTATCAATAAACCGAATTATTTTAATACTGGAACTGGGAATAACTCACTGCTAGACCCTATTGTAATTACAGATTCTGTTAAATAGTTGACGCTGATACTTTAAATTTTGATAGAGATATTAGCGATCATGATGGAACATATATCACAATTAAATCTTCGACTGGTTAGTAAAAGTTTCAAACGCCAAGTCTGGGACTAACAACACGCTGATTATGAATTAATGAAAATAAAGGTCCGCAAAACAAATTGGGATTTTTTTGGAAAGCGATGATTATGACATAGAATACTTATGCACAAAGTTTACAAATACCTTTATAAACATAGAAAAGGTCTGTGTCCCTACACGGGAAGTAATATTATGGAAAGGTGGCAAAATCTGGTTTAACTCGAGATTAAGACGCGAATGTCGTAAAAGAGATAGACTAAGAAAAATCTTTTTTAAAACTTTGAGTGCCAACGATAAAACCAATAAACCACATTATTGAGCTACGTTTTACGGATAAGGATATTGATTTTCCTTCATGATTTATATTCATTGTAAATTTATACAGATTGTCTAATTGCCCAACAGCAGTTGAATTTGAATCCGTCTGATGGATATTTGTCAATTTAACGTCGTTGTAAAATGAAGCGAAGTAGACGGTCTACATGTAATCTGGGTCGGGCTAAACGCACAATACTAATTATCATAGATGACTATAGCCAATTTCAAGTTTTCTAAAAGAAGTCGTTGGCTTGAAATAAATATCCAACAAAACAAATTACACCCGCGTTGGTGTAATAATTAAAATGAAAGTGTAATTTACAAAATATTCTTGAGGGGTAATGCTTATCCTATACCCGGATGTAAACTACGTGTATTTAAATGTAGCATTACACTGTCTGAGTGCAACGCTAATATTATGTGGGGTATCAGGCAGGTTACACTACTGGAAGAGGCAACTAGTTTCGGTGTGTTCCCACTATGCCGGCAGACTGTTAATCCTTTAATTGATCTTAAAACTATACTCTGTTTAAAAGTAGTCACTCAAGACCTGTTCACTAGTGTTCAGTGTTAATGAGCTCTTAATAAAATTTATTAACCAACTAATTAATGACATTTCGAACACAGCTCATGCCGGCGTTATACCTTCAAACATGAATTCAATTCACTATATATTAATATAAATAGATGGTCGATATCTATTTATTTTAAAATGGCAAACGTTCAGGTTAATATTCGCTTTATCTCCAATAATAGAGGTGGCCGAAATTTAATACACAATGGTACAAGTACTGAATAAAGTCAAGCAGACCAAATGCTATTTAATGCCATTTAATAAAAGTTAAATGTGTAAATTGTAATGCATTTTTATTTGTGTAAATTATTTAATGTTATTTAATAAATGTTAAATCAATAATTTTTATATATGTAAATTATTTAATGTTATTTAATAAAAGTTAAACAATCCGTATTCACCGGAAGTGAGTATTTTTAATATGGCGGACTAGGAGAAATATACGGTATATTATAAAGCCTTCCAGTAATTCAACAATCTTATGAATCTATCTAATTTTTCTCTCAAATTGTGCTTAATCATCATTAGTTGTTCAAATGCTTGGAATTACCAGAAACCCTACAGCTCGGGTCAGTAGGTAGACAATCTGTCCAGAATGTATATGGTCATTTTATTTTTAACGGCGCCATCTTTGTTTTAGGCATTTTCTTTAGACATTTTAGCAAACATAAAAATTAACCTAGGCATCAACCAGATAATACCTTTTTGAATTTTTGTGTTAGTTGGTTGGTTGAAATGTACCTAAATTCAGTATAAGAAAAAACAAAATATACAGTTATCCCCCCCCCCCCCCACACACACACACACACACCATTCAGCCGCTATGTCAAAATTATTTCAGCCATAGGTGTTTCTCCGTCTTGAAAATAGTATACATGTTTAGGCGTGTGTGACGTCTTTTTTTGAATTTTGAACCAAAAAATATCAGAAAATGTCTGCTTTATTTTGTAATTGGAGATCATTAGAGCAAAATATTATTGTTGAAGTTCATTGATCCGTGAGGAATAAATCAAGTTGAAAAATCTCGACAAAAGAGTTATAGGCACACCATAGCTGTAAATTTATTCTATTGACAGCCTTATTATTCATTGAAATGTGGTCGTATATGGTCGTTGTCCGCCTCAGTTAATGTGAACCATAGAAAATGTATTTGTAGCCTACTCTTTATCTTTCAGGACCTGTTATTAAAATCTTTTCTTGTTTTGAATGTTAAATACCCCTCGCAAACTGAAGCAGTTTGTAATGCTCTCCAGAAATTTATATACAATATAGACCGTATTGTTACCTCTAAATCACGTAGAATTTGGTCAACAATTTTAAAGTATTAAATAGGAATAATTTTAAAAATAAATGTAGATTAAATATAAACTGGGCTAATGACGATGGGCATTAACCACGCAGTGTGCTATGTGAATAATTTTGCCCGGACAGCAATGTTACTGTCTACTCTTGTATCGAATTCCAACTGTCAGTGGTTCATTTAAGTGCATGCCACTTTACGTTGTCCCTTGCCAGGCCCTCCGTCCCACATCACTGGCAGATGAACTTTCTCGGCCAACACAGTGACCAAACACAGGACCTATAGGTTAGGGAGCCAACATCTCATACTCAATTAGCCACATACATGAATTGTATGTAAATATTTTGTACATATTATTTAATATTTTCCATTTACTATTATATTTATGTTTCATTTATGTTTTAATAGCCTGTAATCCTGGTGCTTGTTTATTATTCCATGGGTGCTCTTTTTATGTACAGGTTTCATTTTATATTTGTTTTTAAATCATGAAAGGGTTCTATATCAATTTATAAATTCTAGAATAGTGCATATTTCTTTGGTCAGTTCTGTGTATGTTAGTTATTTCTAGATGCTTCACAAACTACTTGTAATATGACTTTAAACCTTGTAAATATCCTGTAAATGTCTATTGTATTCCATTTTGTCATTACATACAACAATTTTATTAGTATTGTATGGAATTAACTTTGTTCATTAACATTCCGGGTGTCTATTTGGTATCGATTTGGCAGTACTATGTAATTTGTTCTATCATTTAATAAATAAATAATAATTTATCAAACCAATTTATTTTTATGTCATTTATCAAACATTACATCTATATATATACTGTATACTATCATTGGACCATAACAATAGTATACAAGTATACTAAGGGGTTTGTCTGATATAAGTGTAACTTATTGTAATATGCTTTATGTTTTATAAATTTATGTAAAGGAGAACTTGTGTCTCATTCTATTGTCATTCCATGAAAAATAAAATATGTTTAAACTAAACTAAGTGTTAATGGTACTAAATTATTAAATACGTCGACTTTCTAACCCAAATATTCATCGATTTAAATAATTTTTACACCGCAAGTTATTTTTATGGCCATAATCCCTGTCGGGACTACAAATGATTGTTTAATTTCGGTGGAAAAGAACTTACTTAATATTCTCACAATCTGCAACTGTTCCCAAAAATTCTACATTACAACCAATAGATGATAAGACAGTCGCTGTGTTAGATGCATTACCACCCCTCTCTTTAATAGTATCCAAGGTCCTGAAATATATAAAGAAAATAGTAGTATATTCCCGAAGCAATAGTAACATCAACCCATTAACCAAATCTACATTTAGAAAGTATGTTTTATTTCGTACTTCTGCTAAAGCTGTATCTGTTCACCTTCACGGCGCCACGCCGGCGAAGAGTGAGTATCACGGAGGCACGGTGGCTAAGTGAGCAAGACGTTGGCTCGCTAACCTGGCGGTCCCGTGTTCGATCCCTGCATTGGCAGAGAAGTTCATTGGGTTTTCCGGCGTGGTACCCATTGTCAGGTGTAGGTAAAAGGGCATGCCAAGAGACAACGTATAATCGTTCGAATGGGACGGAAAACCGAGGTCCCGTGTACACATTGGTGTGCACGTAAAAGATCCCTTGACAGTTGGAATTTGATATAGGAGTAGGTCGTAGAGTCGCTATCCGGGTCAGACTTCCTCCATAGAACACTGTATGGATGCATGTACCATGTTAAAACAATTATAATTTCGATCGCCTGAACCAGGGCTTCCACTTCAAAATTTTCACAGCCGGTCATTTTTCACAAGGGGAAAGTGACGCTATTTTTAGCACATAATAAGAAGCGACAAAACAAAATGCTATTGAAATGTCGATCGGGTTTAATTGGATCAAGGACAGTCAGATTGAAATTCAATCTCACATCAGCATTTATACCCACAGACCCTCCTAATAAATAAAGGAACACATGTAATCAATTATCATCATTTATTTATTTATTTATTTATACATTCATCGCAAGTACACTATTTCTTACTTTATTTACAACGTCACCCGTATATACTCGTCGGAACTCAGATGGAACTATTGTGGTATAACATCTTTAAATACAATCTGTTTCACAGAGGATTACGATAGTCTTCTAATATCTCTGTAAAAGATGACTGTCTTGAACACGTGACGTCATATGACGCGGCGTCAATCATTGGCTCAATGGTGCGTGCACTGTTTACATAAGACTGGCTCGGGCAGAATGGTGCCTTTTACTCATTTTAATACCCATTTACAATAAATACGAAATATTTTTTACCTACAAATACTTCAAATGTCTTTATTTATTTTTCTAATACATAAAATGTTTTCGAATTTAATTTTTCGGAGGAAAAAAGTTAATATTTGGGGCTCATTAAGTCGCATCGATCTCATCCTTATCAGGGATTGTAGAGGCCTAGCCAATATTCACTGATGATCAGTGTGATTTAAATAGTCGACTTTCGTGTTCAAGTGACGTTTTATGGTCACTGGAGGCAGCATGCGCTACAAGAGCCGACTTTCTAAAATTCTAAGAACCAGTCACAAAACTATTCTTGGCGTTATGTTTCTGGCAAAATGATCTTTTAATTAACCAGTGCGTATTGCGTGCGTGACGGGTAAGGCTGTTGACTTTTTCTCTCGGGGAAAAAGTAGTGCCGAGTGATTAACCCATTTAAATGACGTTTTATGGTCACTGGAGGCAGCGTGCGCTACAAGAGCCGACTTTCTAAAATTCTAAGAACCAGTCACAAAACTATTCTTGGCGTTATGTTTCTGGCAAAATGATCTTTTAATTAACCAGTGCGTATTGCGTGCGTGACGGGTAAGGCTGTTGACTTTTTATCTCGGGGAAAAAGTAGTGCCGAGTGATTAACCCATTTAAATAATTCAAAGTCATAAAAATGTACAATAATTAACATACTTTTTAAACTTATCAATATATTAACTCGTGTTGATATGTATGGAGATCAAACAATATCGTGCTAGTATTTTCACTCGATAAAATGTAAAGATATTTGCACAAAAAATATACATGTATTTCAAAATGGCGGCGAGGGTAAATCTTCATTGTTTCAAGTAAAGTAACGTCTATCAATTGTTATGTAAAAGAAAACAAAGGATTAAAATCACACCTGACAATACATCTTTTGTGTGGGATTATCATATCTTAACCACGGGAATGTTAGTGACCATTTAGTTGAGATTTTACGACAGTCTTTGTTTTTCGGTCTTAATAAAAATTCCAGTTATCGTGTAGTGCATTACCGGCTAGTCTTTTTCTATCGCTCTTAGAATATACGAGTATTATTTATTTCCCCCCGTGGTAATTCATTATTACATGATTTAGAAGATTTAAATTCATCTTTCGTTTGTGCAAAGAAATATGTCGCTACCAAAATATAACCTAATTACTAAAAATAGACCACTTTCAACTCATTTTATTTAATGCTCGGTCGCATTACACATTATTGTATGGTGACTTATTGTATGTCAGACTGACTTTGACTCATGTTGTCATAATGTTCCGATTTTTTTGATAAATGTTCTTGGAAAAATGTTTTGCAAGATTGGTATTTGGACATTTGTATATGGAAATATGTTGTTCGAGATTTGTTTTTCGTTGTATGTCCCTGATGAAATGTAAATGTAGGTTATTTTTCTGATTTTCTAAAATAAATTTCAGCTTTATATTAAAATAAAATTGAATTAAACAACATAATACAATTTACAAATCTGATGTCACAAATGTCTGATTTGTAAAACAAATATTGATTTTAAGATACAAATTTTAATTTTACTGTACATATGTCGAAATACGACATCAAATGCAGACATAAGAATTAAGTACTGTGAATTGAGAACTAAGAATTAAAAACACTGAATAAAGAGCTGTTTTGTCTTCCATAGTTTTCAAGTTCTTCGCTCTTTTAATGGCTAAAACATTAGTCAATCAGATGTGATTTTGTTAAAGCTATTAAATAAAGCTATTTCAACATGTCGGAAAATCTTTAGAACACACCAAATCCACAGGCACTTGAAGGGATTAAAATAAAATTTCTTACTAGCTGTAATATATAGTCAAACAGTAGTAAGAAATCTTAGTTTAATCCCTTCAAGTGCCTGTGACCAAATCTACCCACCCCTTTTTTCGTCACCCTACACATTCCTTTACGACCACGGGGAAGTGGTAGAGGTGTGAAGGTACCAAGTAAAGGATCTACAATCGTAGGTAAAAATAAACACATCTGATAAACCAACGTTTAGTACATTGTACATGTATGTCTTTACAGCTTATTTGGTGGATGAAAACAATGAGATGCCGGTAACACAACGGAGAACTTAAAATGTAAATGTTTAATACGGTTATTAAGCCCAAAAATACACCGCCGAAGAAAAAGTAATGAAAAAGCTTGATAACGCTTACATTTGGATCATGACGTGATTTTTAAATTTTTTAATTGCTAGAAATATCAGATAAATTATGGTCCCGTGGTACACAGGCGTACGAGCGTTTTCCTGCTATTCCAGCCCGTGAAAACAGCAACTTTAAGTGGCATTTTTCTGCTATTCTAGCCCGTAAATTAAGTAACTTCAAAGTTTCTAATTGGCTCGCAACCGAAATCCGACACTATGTCAACCTGAATTCCAACCATCCAACCAGACTGTTGCAGCTGCATCCACAAATAATAATCGCTGTCCGAAAAATGTTACACAAAGGAGAGCAGTATGGCGGTATATTAGATTCAAAATTATAACAGGCTATCGTTTAATTAGGGTTTCACACTGCGTAGCTTGTGTGAAACACTATTGTTTTTGTTAAAGGCTCAATACCACTCTAGTTGTAACTGAATAATATGTCCCAATCTTTATTCTGGTCAACAAATTGTACTATTTTACAATATTCCAATTAATTGATGATACAAATTTCATCTTAACACACCTAATTTTAAAAATTGGAAAAATTCAACTAAATGATTTGAAAAGCCTGACGTAAAGCTTTTCAAATGTGACTTGGATCTTAAAAATATTTTTGAACCCTCTGAACAAGTAAAATAGGATTTAATGGATAATTTACACAACAGGTAGGACACTAACACATCTAGTACTTAGAATAAGGCTATTTGTTATTTTCTGGAGCTGTCAAGCCAGCAAGAGTGTTATTGTCCCTTTAAGATTATTCTTATTATTATTATTTTTTTTCCACTTGAACATATCTCAGAAACTACTTGTCGGATTAATTCGATGTCTTCGGTTTTACTGGGAAAGTGGGTGTGACTTAGAGATTAAACGGCAAAGTTGTCGTTTTTTAAAATACTACAGTAATATTAACAATAATCGTCGGATTTTAACATTGGATACATTTTGACATAGCCTGAGACAGGGCACATAGCTACAGTAGTTTAGATTTTTGATTTTCGATGAATCTTCGGAGATATTAGGCGCCAAATTTTGAAAATTTAAATTTTGACAAAAAACTTTTTTATTAATGAATAATTTTTTATGGCATTTTACCCAGGGTTAAGGGGTCGTCTGATTTGAGCAAAAATGTGAACATTTTTTGTCTCGATAATTTTTCTTGGCCGCTATTGGCTAATTCAGATTATCGGTTCTAGGTTAATTATTTATTGTCCGCTTTTTATGGTGCAAATTTGCTAAAAACTACAATTTTGTCGAGTCGGAATGTCTTTTCACTAGCAAATGTTAATTTTTGCAAATCTGATACATCAAGATAAATGCCCCTACAAAAGGCGCAAAAAATCTCGGACTCGCTTTTTTAAATTTGGGTTTTGTATTTGCGCCATTTCGATTTAAAGGTGAAAAAAGGTGTAAAAATGAGCTATTTACAACCCATTCAGGCTTTTCATATTTTAAAATATTTTTTCACAACTTTCATAAACTTGTAGCAATAATCCATACGAAGAGAATGTATGTGAAAATTAGTTTGTTATATGAGCAGTTGCCGAGAAATGGTCAATTTTGCATGAGTCACTTATGAGTCTGATTTGTAATGTTTTTAAAATTATGATATTTGATTCCAATCAACTAATAGAATGAACCCATGCGATCATATAGATATCACAAAATGGTTTCTAACTTGTTCAGTTGCGGAGAAATAGGCGATTTTCAGCAGGTCCTTTTTCAAGGTTTTTGGTCCATAAAAGTGTCAATTATTATTCGATTTTCATAACAATTTCACTGTGTGATACATAATGCCATTTACGATTTCATACAAGTAATTTAGTATTTTCATTATCACCGAAAGTACCGTCACTTTAGCAAAAACTGTATTTTTAGCCTCTAAAAACAAGTAATTGTTTGAAGTAAGCGATATTCATTATTGGTGTAAAATTATGATATTTGATTCCTATGGACAAATAGTATCAATCAATACGATCATATTGATATCACAAAATTGTTTCTAACATCTTCCCTTGCCGAGAAATAACCAATTTTGTCAGGATCACTTTTTAAGATTTTTCGCATTTTAATTTCAGTGTATGGGTTCTGGGTTAATTATTTATTGCCTGATTTGTGTAAAAGAAAAGCCTACCTGGTGCAAATTCTCAACTTACTTCTACCTATAAAAGTTTCTGTCGGCACCCCGGAAGTGACGTAATTTTGCCCAAAACTTCAATTTTGACGTGTCGAAAGGTCTTTTAAAAAGCAAATATTAATGTTTACAAATCTAATAGATCAAGATGAATGCTCATACTAAAGACGCAAAATATTTCGGCTTGGATTTGCATCATTTTGATTTAAAGCTGAAAAAAGGTGTAAAAATGAGCTATTTACAATGCATTCAGGCTTTTCATATTTTAAAATATTTCTTGACAACTTTCCCGAACCTGTAGCATTAATCCATACGATGACAATCTATGTCACAAGTAGCAGTTGCCGAGAAATAGGCAATTTTGCATGAGTCACTTTTCACGTTATTTTGCCTGTAAAAGAGTTAATTATAATCCGATTTTCTATTTTTTTTTCACCATATGATGCCTAATGCCATTTTTGACTGGGCGGATCCAATTTTACATTTTCACTGTCACCGGAAATGGCGTATTATGGGCAAAAACTGTATTTATAGCCTTCAAAACATTATATTTTATTCAAATGAATCTGATTTGTAATGTTTTTAAAATTATGACATTTGATTGCAATCAACAAATAGAATGAACCAATACGATCATACAGATACCTCAAAATGGTTCCTAACTTTTACGGTTGCAGAGAAATAGACGATTTTCTACTAGTCACTTTTCAAGGTTTTTGGTCTATAAAAGTGTCAATTATTATTCGATTTTCATAAAATTTTCACCATGTGATGCCTGATGCCATTTATGATTTCATGGCACTAATTTAACATTTTCATTACCAGCGGAAGTAATGTCGTTTTGGCAAAAACTGTATTTTTAGCCTTCAAAACAAATATTTTTGTGAAGTGAGTTACATTTATTATTCGTTTAACATTATGATATTTGATTCCAATGGAGATATAGATTGAATCAATACGATCATATAGATGTCCAAAAATTGCTTCTACCACCTTTCTTTGTCGAGAAATAATCAATTTTGTCAGGATCACTTTTTAAGACTTTTTTCACATTTTAAGTTCCCATTAGATAGTCAGCTAACTTAGTGGTACGTTAGTAATAAATTTTGTCAGGATCACTTTTTTGACATATCTAGCGAATGTTAACAAATGTATAAATGGAATTGATATTGATGGATTTGGTTGATTCTGCGTCCATTTCATAGCACGTGTGCAATGCTTATGTGGAAATCTGTTTAAAGGTTTCATTGGTACCGAATGTGACATAAGTTTAAGGGTAACGTGGCACCGGTGAAACCCGTCATTACTGCATCGCAGTTCTAGTTTCTAACTTCTATTCATGTAATTTCTAACTTCTATTCATGTTATTTCTAAATTAAGACAATGTATAATCCAACGTCTTTATTTGTTCAGTGTAAATTTGAATTCTGTTTCACCGTATTTCTATTATTAAGATGAAAAATGTCTACTTTATCGTCGCTTTACATGTTAATCATGAACGTCGATCAAATTGAGAATTTTGATACTTCTATCTAGCTACCATCATTATGACGTCGTTTGGTGTCGCCACCGTGTGCTCAATTTGGCGATTGAGCACCTAATCGGGGCCATTATGTTGATACAAACGACTCGCTCTTTGCCAGGTTGAATGGTTTGGCGGAGTGTTAAAATTGAAAATAACATCGAACGTGATATGGTTTGCAAATACTATTTCAAATATATTATAAGCTAAACAGCATTTGTTCAGTCATTTTTTTTAAAGACAAGTGCAGGATTTGGAGAATTTTTTTGGTCTATATTCTTTCACTGCTCTAAAAAAAAAATGTGGCAGACCCCCGCCATGTATCAATAACAAGGGAGGGAGAACCACGCCGGGAGATATCGGTTACATCATAGAAATATATATATATATCTATGGGTCAACTAGTATACACATTGGCAAAACTAAGCTTTATAATGTTTCTGACATTAGTTCCGTCCCTGTGATTAGCGGGGGCGGTCGTTATTGTAGGCAGGGGCAGTGCCTATATTCGTTCGGATCGGACGAAAACCATTGGCAACTGTAATTCGAAAGGAGACAGTTGCGCCGCTGTCTGGGCTAAATTTTACCCATGGCACACTGTATAGCGTAAGTTCGTCTTCATTAGACCAGTTGGTGTAGAAAAGTAGGACGATAAACCCCATTTCATTTTAGTTTAATTACGTCAAGAACACCGCTATCTATGAAATTCCGTATCGCTTTATGCACCTTGAATAAAATATTGTTGGAAAAATACTACCATAAAGTTAGACAGATCGGTATAATGAAGGAATATCAGAAATTACAACTTCACCGCTATCCGCATGAACAGATTAACCCGGCCCCGAGTTCACAAAGCATTCTCAGGCTTAAGTTGAGAATTTACTTAAACTTGTTCACCTTATTTTAACTAAAATATAGCCCGTTATAAAACTTTTGTTGTTTTAATGTATCAAATTCATCAATAAGAAACCATGTGCAAAGTTTTGTGTTTCTGCATCAAAGATATTTCTCATAAACAGTGATTGAAAGTTGAGCAAATTCTCAACATAAGTCTGAGAATGCTTTGTGAACTTAGGGCCCGGTCTTCTTTAAGGGCTGTTTCATTCCCACAATATGGGATTTCTAAATTTATATCTTTGAACCATTTCAAGAAAAAGTTTATCATTATAAAGTGACATTTTTGTTAAAGCAGTAACAGAATACAGATCAACAGTATATAAATATTAATATTGGCGTAACTGTAAAAAAAATCATATAAAATTCTCTAAATCCTTTACGTGTCTTCAAAAAAAAAAATGTTGTTTAGCTTATATTTAAAATAGTATTTGCCAACCATATCACGTTCGATGTTGTTTACAATCTCAGCATCGATTCCCCGATTGTACGTGACAAGGAGTAGCGTCGCTTGTCCAACCTCTAGGGTTTTCTCTGGGTCCTCCGGTTTCCATCCACTGATAGACCCCTCCGCGCAAGCGAATTATTGAAATAAAATTGAGCCATATGTAATCCCGAAATGACCTAGTTTGTGTAGAGTGGTCGTTAAACCCCATTTATCCCTCTCTCTAAATTTCAGCACTCTGGCCAACCATCAACCAGACGAAGATCGACTCGTTTATATCAACATAATGGTCCCGACCAGGTGCGCAATCACCAAACGAGCACGCAGTGGCGACACCAAACGACTTCATAATGATGGTTGCTAGGCAGAAGTGTAAAAATTCTAAATTCGTTATGTTCATGCTAAACGTGTAAAGCATCAATGAAGAAAACGTTTTTCGTCTAAATAGAATTTAGGTGAAATAGAATTAAAATTTACACTGAACAAATAAAGAAGTTGGATTATACATTGTCTTAATTTAAAAGTTAAATGAATAGAAGTTAGAAATTACATGAATATAAGTTAAAAGTTACATGAATAGAAGTTAGAAATTACAAGAACAGAAGTTAAAAATTACATGAACAAAAGTTAGAATTTTGAATCTAATATACCGCCATAGAGTAGCTCCAGATAAAATGTTTTAATCCATATAGTTAATTCAATACAAATTTGTGACATTCAATTATAAGACAAGTAACATTAGTGTGTTATTAGATTTCGGATACGCCTATGGCCATTTTGATTACATGTATTACCATACTTTTTTTTAAAGGTGAAACGAAACATCAAATAATCACCGCTTGGATTAATTATTAGGAGTAAATAATAACTGGTGCTAAGCATCATTGGCAATTATCAATCAACTAATCATTAATCCAAGATCCGGATTATCGTGTGTGTGAAATAGCTTTATTTAACGTCCGATTCCACCGAAGTGATATCGCAGTTGATTAAATTATAGTATTTCGACATGTGACTGACACACAGTGTAATGGTTAATCCAAGATAAAGTACTTACCTTTGACCCGAATCTTCCAATGGGTATGTCTTGACTATAGTTTTTAAATCTATACAAACAAGACCGACACATAATATTGTCTTGTTAGTATCCATATTACTGAAGAGAAAAGAAAACACAAAATGTTGCGAAACAAGAAGATACAAGTCTATCAATAATAAAGGAAGATATCGCTATTAGAGCATGACGCCAAGTATAGCTTTATGTACAACACCCTCATAGTAGTCGTTGAACTAAAAATACGTACTCGCTTGGGGCAAGGCGACCGAATATTAAAAGACCCGAGATTAGGTCACTATCAGATAACTGCTAGGGTGTTTTCGTATCAAGCTCCATGGACTAAAGTCAATTATACACGACAAAACAACATCTAGAGATGGTTTATTCTGAATATTCGAGCAAGTGTTTGTTCCCTTCGGAACAAAAGCCAGCGGTTGCCAGACAAGATACGCCCACATTTTGTACGAAATGGGTGGAGAACAAGCTAAAAAAAAAAAGAAGCGATTTTTAAGCTTCTTCAAAATCGGATAAAAACTGTGACTTCTAGAGATCCCAAAACCTTAGTATTACATACTTTTACACTATTTCGGTACAACGAGCGGCCATTTTGTCTGGCAGTTTGGGTCAGATTTTTACGAAATTTGAACTCAACCTCCATTGATGTGTAACGGTGATATATTTTAACGTTTTTTAAAATTGATTACAAATTGTAATTTCTAGCGGGTTCACGAGCTAAAAATGCGATTTTTCAAAATCAGGGGCCATAATCCACGAAGTTACGTTCGGATAAGCGCGATTATAGAAAGGAGCCACGATCTTTTTGATATAAACTTAAATTTAAAGCTTCATCGAAATCAAATCAAAATTGTGGCCTCTAGAGGATCCACAACCTTGATTTATCATATATTTCAACAATTTGTGTACGAGGGGTGGCCATTTTTCCGGCAATTTTGGCCCGATTTTCGCGAAATTCAAACTAAACCATACTTAGGGTGTAACGGGTTTTTTTTTAAATAGGATAGAAATTGTGACCTCTAGTGGGGCCACAAGCTAAAAACTCGATTTTTCGTACAATCAAGGGTCATAATTCAGGAGGTTACTATCCGATATGCGCGAATATCGACAGAAAACAAGATCTTTGGGTTATAAACGTGTATTTCACGTTTCATCAAATCTGGATCAAAATTGTGGTCTCCAGAGGGTCCACAACCTTGATATACCTATATTTACACTATTTGCGAAGGTTGGGTGGCCATTTTGTCCGGTAGTCCTGGTCCGATTTTCACGAAATTCGAACTCTACCATCATTAGGATGTAACGGTGATATATTCACACGGCTTTGTAAATCGGATAAAAATTGTTACTTCTAGAAGGACCACAATCTAAAAGCGTGATTTTTTATACAATCAAAGGCAATAATTCAGGAAGTTACGATCCCATATGCGCCATTATTAAAAGGAACCAAGATCTTTGGGTGATAACAAAAAATATCGACGAGTGATGATAATAGTATAAAATTATCTTATTTTTAAGATGTTATAATACAAGCATTAATAAAGAAATTGAGTTTGCCACTTGGAACTAAAGACACCTAATCGTAACTAAAAAAAACAGCACATTAGTATTATATCAACGTTTTTAGCTACGTTCTCGTAGCTACTAAAGACCCCTACGCGCAAGCTTATTATGAAATAAAACTGAACCATGTGTTAGTCCTGAAATGACCTAGTTTGTGTCGAGTTAACACATAATCCAGGAAGTTACGGAATATCTACAGGAGCCGAGATCTTCGAGATATAAAGGTACATTTTAAGTTTCATCAGAATTGGTAAAAATTGTGACCTCTAGAGGGGTCAAAACCTTGATTACATACGTTTACACTATTTGCGTACAAGGAGCGGTCATTTTCTCGGACAGTTTCCTTCCGATTTTTACGAAATGCGAACTCAACCATCATTATGGTGCAACTGTGAAATATCTAAACGGGTTTAAAAACTGGATAAAAACTGTGACCTCTAGAGGGTCCACAAGCTAAAAACACGATTTTTCGTACAATCAGGGGCTATAATCCAGGAAGTTACGGTCTGATATGCGTGAATAGCGAAATAAACCGAGATCTTTGGGACATAAACATACAGTATATTCTAAGTTTCATCAAAATCTGATAACAAGCGGTTGCCATGCAAGATATGCCCACATCTTGCAAGAGATGGACAGAAAACGAGCTAAAAAAATAATGTGATTTTTTGTACAATCAGGGATCATAATCCAAGAAGATGTGGTCCGATATGCGCGATTATCGACAGGAACCGTGATATTTGGGTTATGAACATACATTTCAATTTTCATCCAAAACGGATAAAAATTGTGACCTCTAGAGGGCCCACAACCTTCGTATTACATACTTTTACACAATTTGCGTACAAAGAGGGGCCATTTTGTTGAGCAGTTTCATTTCAGTTTTCCCGAAATTCGACTTCAACCTTCATTATGGTGGTATGGTGATATATTTAAACGGATTTTAAAATCGGAAAAAAAAATTGTGACCTCTAGAGAATCCGCAAGCTAAAAATCCGATTTTTTGAATAATCCAGGAAGTTACGTTCGGATATGCGCGATTATCAAAAGAAACCAAGATCTTAGTGTGTAACAGTGATATATTCACACGGTTTTTTTTTAAATTGGATAAAAATTGTGACCTCTAAATTTTGTACAATCAAGGGCCCTAATTCAGGAAGTTACGATCCGATATGCGCAAATTCCAAAAGGAACCAAGGCCTGTGGGTTATAAACATGTATTTCAAGTTTAATCAAAATCGGATCAATATTGTGACCTCTAGAGGGCCCACAACCTTGATATACAAGATGTTTACACTATTTTGCGTACGAGGGGCGGTCATTTTGTCCGACAGTTTTGGTCCGATTTTCATGAAATTCGAACTCAACCAACATTACGGTGTAACAGTGATGTATTTAAACGATTTTGTAAATCAGATAATAATTGTGACCTCTAGAGGGACCACAAGCTAAAAACACGATTTTTCGTACAATCAGGGGCCATAATTCAGGCAGTTACGATCCGATATGAGCAAATATCGAAAACAACCAAGATCTTTGGGTTATAAAAGTGGAAAATATTTTTTTTTATTTCATCTACTTGGCAAAAACTGTGACCTCTAGAGTACCACAACCTAAAAACGCGATTTTTCGTACAATCAGGGGCCATAATCCAGGAAGATGCGGTCCGATATGCGCAAATATCAAAAGGAATCGAGATCTTTGGTTATAAACATACATTTCAAGTTTCATTTAAATTTAAATCGGATAAAAATTGTGACCTCTAGAGTGTCCACAAGCCAAACACGTGATTTTTCGTACAATCAGGGGCCATAATCCATGAAGTTAAGTTTCGATCCGATACATGAAATATCGAAAAGAACCGATAAACCTATATTTCAAGTTTCGTCAAAATCGGATAGGAACTGTGACCTGTAAAGTGTCCACAAACAAATTGTGGACGACGTCCGGACGAACGGACGGACAGCGGCGACGACAATATACGTCCATATGAAAATGTGGGCGTAGAAAAATATTAAAATAGATAAAGATAAAGGTTACGGATTCTTTAGAAAGAGGTTGTAATTGAAAAATGCCCGTTTCACAAGAATCCGACTCAATTGTAAGCCTGTCACCATCAAGTCGGAGGGGTTGAGTTGATATGGACAGGTCTTACAACTCCATCATCAACAAATACTGGATATTTTCGGTGTAGTTCTGGGAATAGTTTGAGACCTGAGGAGATTGATGTTAAAATTATATCCACAGGTGAATATGAACATTTTGATGCTCATTGAAATCCAAGCATAGATTGTCAAGCGATACAACTCCAGTCGTCAACTACCATCAGACGAATATTAACCAGAGTCCCATCAAATCCTGTACCCTGTGGTTGATAATTCCAGCAGAACATCCAGACAAGGCAATACCAGACACGCTAGAAACGAACAAGTCTACAAGCACTGTCAGGTGTGAAGCAAGACCGTGGCAAAAGGATCAGGCAGTTTCAAAACTTAGAGTTGCCCTTTCCATATACACGTGGTTATAATCATTACAATTTTAAATAACAGGTAGGTCTAAAATATAAATACATACATGTATACAATAAATGATTTCAAAGTAACTTTGAATAAAACGTGGTAAAAAGAATTAACATCACTTACATTATGTTCAGTATGATTAGTAATTAGTCTCTAAAATCCGATGAGGTTGTTCAACATGTATTATTTCCAGAGTGAATATAGATATTGCACTGTGTCTGAGTTATATGCATGTTGGTAATCACGTCTAATTTACACTAAACAAGTAACATAATAGCTTTAATTAGACACCTAGACGGGACACGGTCTTACCGTTAATTATAAGAGTTTAGTTTGAATGAGCTTAAATATATTTATCCAGACGTTTAAGCAATTAAAACCATGAAATTAATTTACAAGTATTGACAAGTAGTATATGAAGCTTGAGGGATGATTAGCGTCAATATAGAATGAAAATGTGTAGAAATTAGAAATATCTACTATTTCACAATTAATGTACATGTATGTGCACGTTGAGTTATAATTTACCTATCACTATTTATAGTATGAATTGAGATTAATTGAAGAGGGTAATTTGTGTTTTGTTTTTAAAATGACAATATATATGTATATAAATGTATGTTAGTACTAATCGCTAAATGTTAATTTGATACAATTGCAACCATATATAATCTTTGAATGACATTTAATAGATACTAATATGTCTACGCGACATGTCTAAGAGTATTCTCTCAATGTTATCAACAGCATTATAGATATAAGGAAAAATATAATATACAAACTATAACAACAAACCCGAAACCATACATCACGACGGCACAAATGATTTTCAAATAATAAAGTGCGGATTTAATAAATCGATAGTTGTTAGGGTGACCCACCATAAATAAATATCTCCATATATCTCGACAATTACGCCACAATATTTATATATATGCCAAGCCTCAAATCAGTTTCACACAATTATAGTCACTAAATAAACGATCATGTTGTAATCGGACTGCAATCCAACAAATATCGCAGGCAAGCCTTGACATCGAGAGCTGATTATGGTCTGGATAAGTTAATTAATGTCTAATTAATGGTTTTTATAACATTTCAGGCCTAAAAAAAGACCTGCAATAGGCCGATTTTGTTCTTGCATAATGTATGCTTAATGAATCCTTGTTACCGCCGACTATATAAAATTAATTAAATTATAAGTGACAAATAAATAGATTTGGTTAAATACACAGAGTTTGATAAAAATATAGATTTTATTATATATAAATATGGTCGACAACCCTAACCCTCGCACTAATAAAAGATAGGCCTAAAATGT